CTAATGTAGCCTCTCTCCTCCACGTCCAGTTTGAACTGTGCTTTTAAGCCCCGTGAGGCCCGGGATTGGAGGTGGCTGGGTGGGGGGAGGGTGAGTCCTTCCTCTTTTTCTTCTGAAGCAGATGAAGCCTGATTCACAGGCCTAGATCTGCCATTAGGGTAAGTTTTGTGGGACTCGGAACAGCCACCCCAAATTTTTCTACAATCGAGCTACCCCTGACAAAGGAAGTAGGAGTGAAGACCCAGAGCACCTAGTTTATTTTTTTTTTAAAGATGTTTATTTATTTATTTGACAGAGAGAGAGAGAGTGAGCACGCACAAGCAGGGGGAGCAGTAGGTGGAGGGAGAGGAAGAAGCAGACTCAGGGAGCCTGGTGTGGGCTCGATCCCAGGACCCTGAGATCATGACCTGAGCCAAAGGCAGAAGCTTCACTGACTGAGCCACCCAGGCGCCCCCAGAATGCTTAGTTTAGTCAGCTTTAAATGAAAAGTGAAACCTTGTTTTCTAGAACATGAATATAGGGCCTTCAAAACAGAGAGAGCTGAGGGTTTGTTTTTTAGAAGGCCTATTTTCTACTGTATGTTTAAACAAGTGATTCATTTGGACATATGCTTTTTCCAGATTAATTTGACAACTACATTAGGAAGCTGAAGGAAGATTTTTTTTTTCTTTTTCAAAGTTACTTGGAGCAGGTAGTTCTGAAATGATTGTACAGAGAGATGAACAGATGCTAATTCAACAGGTTAAACATTGAAATTTGAGGACTGTTTTTGCAATCTGTATTGAGAGGATAGTTGGCACCAAAAGCAAGACTTGGAAATTATTTTCAGTGCCTAAGGCTTGCCTTCTTAGATGGGGCTTTATTCACTTCTCTGAGCAATTGATCAGAGACTCAGAATGTTAGACAGGAAGAGGCAGTCAGTTTCCTTGCACTTGGCTCCATGAAAACATGGTAGATATAGGACAAGGGGCCCAAATTTTACTATCAGAAAACCTCTGAGTTCCCCAAATAGGAATTGTTTCTTCTGTTTCAACTCATTTTGCACTAGTATTCACAGACATGTCTGTGAATGATGGGGATGATCAGCTGGATTTGATCTTATGGGTCTACAATTTCAAACTTAAGACTTGAAATGAAGTATATCTTCTTAGGATCTCCTCCCCCCCGCTGCAAGGTTTATTGAGGTATAATTGAAGAATGAAAATTGTACATATTTAAAGTGTACACTGTGATAATTTAATATATGTATACATTGTGAAATGGCTATCACAGTCAAGTTAATGAATACATTTATCATCTCACATGCTTTATTTTTTTGATGAGAATGCTTAAGCTCTATTGTCTTAGTAAATTTCAAGTACACAACACAGAATTAGTAACTACGGTCACCGTGTTGTGCATTAGATCTCCGGAACTTACTCATCTTATAACTGAAGTTTGTACCTTTTGACCAATCTCTCTGCATTTCCCTCATCTCCCAGCCCAGCAAGCACCACTCTACGTTTTTTAGATTTCATGTATAAATGATACCATACAGTATTTTTTTTTTGTCAGAAGAGTACATGAAAACGCAGGTACTCATCACCCGTCTTCAGCTTCAACAATTATCAAGTCTTTGTCCTCATTTCTGGCCCTACCCCAATGGGAGGTTTTTTGTTTTTTGTTTTTTTTAATTGAAGTATAGTTGACATACAACATATTAGTTTCAGGTGTACAACATAGTGTTTTGACATTTATATACATTAGGAAATGCTCACCATGGTTAAGTGTAGTTACCATCTGTTATGAAACAAAGTTATTACAATAGCATTGACTCTATTCCCTGTGCTGTAATTTTCATGCCCTTGAGTTCTTTTATAACTGGAAGTCTGTACCTCTTATTCCCCTTCACCTATTTTACCCATCCCCCCTCCTTCCTCCTCTCTGGCAACCACAGTTTGTTCTCTGTATTTATGAGTTTGTTTTTGTTTTGTTATTTATTTATTTTAAAATTTTATTTATTTGTCAGAGAGAGAGAGACAAGCAGGGGGAGTGGCAGGCAGAGGGAGAAGCAGGCTCCCCACCGAGCAGGGAGCCCGATGTGGGTCTCGATCCCAGGACCCTGGGATCATGACCCGAACTGAAGGCAGGCGCTCAACCGACTGAGCCACCCAGGCGTCCCTGTTTTTGTTTTTTAGATTGCACATGTAAGTGAAATCATATAGTATTTGCCTTTCTGACTTATTTCACTTAGTATCATATACCCTAGGTGCATCCATGTTGTGGCAAGTGGCAAGATTTCATTCTTTTTTTTTTTTTTAAAGATTTTTATTTATTTATTTGAGAGAGAGAATGAGAGACAGAGAGCACGAGAGGGAAGAGGGTCAGAGGGAGAAGCAGACCCCCTGCTGAGCAGGGAGCCCGATGCGGGACTCGATCCTGGGACTCCAGGATCATGACCTGAGCCGAAGGCAGTCGCTTAACCAACTGAGCCACCCAGGCGCCCCAAGATTTCATTCTTTTTTTAATGGCTGAGTAATATTCCTGTGTGTGTGTGTGTGTGTGTGTGTGTGTGTGTGTGTGTGTGTGTGTGATAGAGAGAGACAGATCTTTATCCATGATACCTTGTGGTTTTTGTCTTTCTCTGTCTGGCTTATTTCACTTTAATGCCCTCCAGGTTCATCCATGTTGTTGCAAATGGCAGGATGTCCTTCTTTCTGATGGCTGAATAGTATTTCAATAAATGTACAGACCACATTTTCTTTATCCATTCATCTGTTGAGAGACACTTAATTTTTTTTTCTATATCTTGGCTCTTGTGAATAACATTGCTATTAACATGGGAGTGCAGATATCTCTTTGAGGGACTGATTTTGTTTTCTTTGGCTATATACCCAGAAGTGGGATTGCTGGATCATATGGTAGTTCCATTTTTAATTTCATGAGGAACTTCCGTACTGTTTTTTTAGGGTCTTTTAGATTTGTTGAATACTGATGTTTATTAGAGTAGTTTAATCTTTCTAAGTAATCTTAGAGAGGAAACTCTGAGATGCTCTTCAGATATGGAACTGGGATCTAGCTGTGACTTACTTGTGAACCAGGTATAAAAACTGTTCTCGTTTATACAGCATTATCTACAATAGCCAAATTATGGAAGCAGGCCAAGTGTCCATCGACAGATGAATGGATAAAGAAGATGGGGTCTGTGTACACAATGGAATATTACTCAGCCATCAAAAAGAATGAAAGCTTGCCATTTGCAACCATATGGATGGAGCTAGAGAGTATTATGCTAAGTGAAATAAGTCAGTCAGAGAAAGACAAATACCATATGATTTCACTCACACGTGGAATTTAAGAAACAAAACAATCGAGCCAAGGGGTAAAAAAGAGAGAGACACACAAACCGAGACATAGACTCTTAACTCTAGAGAACACACGGAGGGGAGGTGGGGGGGAGGTGGGGGGAAAAAGGGGATGGGGATTAGGAGGGCATCACTTATGATGAGTACCAGGTGTTGTATGGAAGTGTTGAACATCTGAAGCTAATATTACACTGTATGTTACCTAACTGGAATTTGAATAAAAACTTAAAAAAACCTGTTCGCAAAGGATTGTGTGGATACGCTATACCGGAGACTGCCTCAAGTACTATGTACGCAAATGTAATTCTGATTCCATTATGATACTAAGTTTCAGTGTATCTTTTATTTAAGTTTTCTTTATGTTGTTTTTTTAATAAAAATTTTAAATAATTTTAATTTGATTTAGTAAAACACTGTTATTAGGAAGCATTAATATACACCCACCTTGGTCTGGAATAGTGTGTTGGAACATAGCTCTGGTTGAATCTGAATATCTCAGAGTTTATCCAACAATTAATGATTGGATGCCCACCACGTGCCAAATGCTGTTGTAGGTGCTGGAGTTGTAACAGTGAACAAATAAAGGGAAATCTCCGCCCTCAGGTAGGAAGAGAGGTAAAGTAGGTGTCATATCACATGGTGATAAGTTCAGTGAAGAAAAAAATGATAGGAAGGTAGGTGGTGGGATCCTCTTCCAAGTTCAGTGTCTTGCATATTCGTAGCTTTGGGTATTTCTGAGGGGGAGAAAACGATACATGAGGTGGAAAGAACTGAGCCTTTGTAGTCACAGACCTAGGTTTGAATTCTAGCTCCGAAGGCAGACAAGTTACTTAGTGTTGAGTTGAGTGCAGAGTTTCCTCATCTGTCAAATGGTGACAAAGATTAAGCCTATTTCTATTCATTCATTCATTCATTCATTCTCGCTCTATGGACTGAGCCAGCCAGGCGCCCCAGATCAAGCCTATTTCCGAGGGTGGTTATGAGTATTAAGTGAGAAAATCTAGAGAAAGCACTTGCCACAGTGTCTAGCATACAGAAAGGGCTTGGTAAATGCCCACTCTTGTTACTCTTATTAATAAATCATATCCTGGATTTCTCAGACGCCGACCTTGCTCCTTGTAACCTTAGCCTCAGGCTGGGGCCCTACTCTCAGTGGCCAGGTCACCCGGCAGTCTGTCAGGGATCCTCTGACTTCGTCACCTAGGACCCCACCCTTTCATGCTCTGCCCAGTGGATCGAGCACCTCCAGCACCCACGTTTGCCCAGGCTCTGCCTGCACCAGGCACACGAATGTCGATACTTCCTCATCTTCAGTTACCCAGTGAACAGAGCCAATTCTCTAAAAATCAACTGACAGGGTTCCAAATAGACCACTTTTTGTTTTACCTTACATTTTTGGAAGGCACGTGGAAAAGCAGGGTACAGGGCTAACTCTCTAGAACTCTTGGCTTTAGCGGAGAGATCTGTGTGTGTATTTGTATGTGTTTGGCGTCTGCGCTTCTCGTTATGGAGGATGTTTCTCTTGTGAAAGTGTCCCAAGTGCTCACTGCCGTCAACAGTCCTTTCTTTAGTGAAATAAGGTGTCTTTCGCACATGGACAGGAATTTATATCTTATGACTTTGACCGTATTAACTTTGTATTTGTCTCTTATTAAGGAAAAGACCAAAATTGTTGAGCCCTTGGACTATGAGAATGTTATCACCCAAAGGAAAACCCAGATTTACAGCGACCCCCTCAGAGACCTGCTTATGTTTCCAATGGAAGATATCTCTGTGAGTTCACAAGCACTGCTTTAAAGGAAAACATTCACACTTTCCAGGCTAGTTCTTACGGCAAGAATGTTCCCTGTCTTCTAGATCTCGGTGATAAGTCGTCAGCGCAGAACAGTGCAGTCCACTGTACCAGAAGATGCTGAGAAGAGGGCCCAAAGTTTGTTTGTCAAAGAGGTAAGACCCTCAAAGGCAACAGTGGAACATTATTATATTCAAAAAAATATTCTTCCTTTAGTGTAGACAGGAAATAAAATGACTGTAACTTAGCGGACCTCCGTGACAAGTCTAGATGATGTGGTAGAGAGGAGACAGCTTAACTACTGTGACAAATAGCATGGGTTCTTAGTTTCTCTCTGGGATTTGACTACTCTCTGAACTTGGAGTTAGAGTGTTCCAAAGTGTGTCTGAATTGGGATTTTTTGTTGCCAGTTAGTTTAGGGAGACCATGTTAATCCCCAATGGATGATCCCAGTACCAACATTTTCCAAATGATTTTTAAAAGTCTGTCAGCTTCCTTTACCAGACTTTAAAAAACTGGATATACGTATACTTGTGTGATATTTCAAATTAAAGATTCCTATTTTCTTTCAGTGTATTAAAACCTATAGCACAGATTGGCATGTGGTAAACTACAAGTATGAAGACTTCTCTGGAGACTTTCGAATGTTGCCATGGTAAGTGTAGAATTCAAGGGAAACCTTTGAGAGGAGAGTTACTCAACGTTTTACCTTCTTCTTACCACTTATAAAGCTTCTCAGTGATAATTTATGATAAAACAAGGCCTTAGGCAGCTGGCTTGTTTGGTAAATGTATTTTGGACAATTGAATATGTTTTCACTTTGCGCATTGAAATTCTTTCAAAAATGTAGGAGTTCGCTTTTTGGCTTTGATGCATCTATATTGACCATAAAATCTTTTAGTTCTGGATAATGTAGTGAGCACTTTCCAGTGGTGTCAATGAAAATGCTAGAAGGGGGGCACCTGGGTGGCTCAGGTGATTAAGCGTCTGACTTCAGCTCAGGTCATGATCTCGGGGTCTTGGGATTGAGCCCTGCATCGGGCTCCCTGCTCGACGGGGAGTCTGCTTATCCCTCTGCCCCTTCCCCTGCTCATGTTCTCTCTTTCTCTCTCTCTCTCAAATAAATAAAATCTTAAAAAAAAAAATGCTAGAAGGCACTCAGTTCAATTCGATGACCCCAGACATCCCCTGACAAAAGCATATCTCTTTCAGTTGAGTTGATGGACTGCCGCGAGCACACTGGTCCAGGAGCCAGTTCAAATCTTATTTGTTGAGGTTCAAGTCTTATTTCTGCCACCTACTGGCTGGATGACCTTGGGCCAGTCACTCAATCTCTCTGAGCTTCCCTGTTATCCCTTTCCCCATCTATAGTCCTACTAACCTCATAGGCTATCATCTGGGAAATGTTTTCGAGAAATAAGACATTGTGTAGCCTCTTGTAGTTTTCAAAGCACTTCCCTAGAAGAGAAAAGAGTCCTAAAGACATCCTTTAAACTTGAATCCCAAGATGGCTGACCAATCCAAGCTTATACAGCAGACGAATGGAAGAGCCAGAATTACACCGTGTTGCTTTTCCTTCTGAGGAAAGACAAGCTTCTGCTCCCTCTAACAACTCTGGCCCGCATTCTCTGGCAGTTCTGCCCTCCCTGACTGACTTAGTATTTGCGCTTAGTTACAGCTTTGCCGCAGGCTGCACATGTGGGAGTCCTTATATAAAAGGTACTGTAAGTTTACTCAGAGGGGCAACCCTGAGTTTGGAAAGGAGAAAAGAATTTATCCCCCTCGTGTTTGGCGTTTATCTCGGTTGTAAAAAAGTCTACTCATCTTGCTTTTATTTATTTATTTTTGTGTGTGTTCTCTTCAGTATCTGAGATAATTCTCTTGCGTTTTCAGCAAATCTCTGCGACCAGAAAAGATTCCCAGTCACGTATTTGAGATTGACGAGGACTGTGAGAAAGACGAGGTAAAAGTGGGGGCCACGGTGCTGGTGTCCTCACGGTCGCTTCTGCTGCCAGAGATTTCCTTGAGAAAAAGATGAGGGACAGAATGGTTTTCGAGTGATCGGTGGCCGGCTTTCAAGCTAATGCGTGTTTTTTAAGAATCTTAAAAAAATTGTTGCATTTCCAAATGGAGTTTAGGAAAAATCAAGTGAAATGGGCTGTGATTTGTATATAAACATGTTTTCCCACCTGTGGGAGACACCTGTGGGGCTGGTTTTCCCCGTGCTGGGCATGTGGCAATGGTGAGTCATCTGGAACCCCCTGCATCATGGATCCCTCTTGGGACAGATGGCCTGGATGTCTGTGACATTTTGAGGTGCAGTTTGACGGTTTACTTAATGCAGAAGACTCTCCCAGAAGACAGCCCGTAAGATTCAGTAAATACTGAGTACCTGCTGTGTGCATGGCACAGAGCCTTACTTTCCCTAGTGAACAATTTCAAGTTTCATCAGGCATCTTTGTGGGGGCGGTGGGGGACTTAATGCTTTAATTAGAAAATGGGGCAGGGCCTAGTTCGTGTCCCCCAAAAGTTTGATTAGATGGCTGGCTGTTTCACTGATGCTTTTTGCCCTATTTCAGGATTCCTCTTCGCTGTGTTCTCAGAAGGGTGGCGTCATAAAACAAGGCTGGTTGCATAAAGCAAATGTAAATAGTACCATCACGGTCACCATGAAGGTAAGAAGTAGTTATTATGTTATTTCGGATATTGTCGTGAGTAACGTGCGTGGAAAAAATATTGCTTTAAAAAAATGTTTACAGGGCGCCTGGGTGGCTCAGTCGGTTGGGCGTCTGCCTTCGGCTCAGGTCACGGTCCCGGGGTCCTGGGATCGAGCCCTGCATCGGGCTCCCTGCTCAGTGGGGAGTCTGCTTCTCCCTCTCCCTCTGCCCCTTCCTCTGCTTGTGCTCTCTCTCCCTCAAATAAATAAAAAAAATTTAAAAAAAAGTTTACAGTGAGCCCTAGCAAAAAAAAAAAGAAAATCATTACTGAGAGGATTCTCACAGCTGTATAGAATTTAAAAACTCTGCAACCTCAGGATAATTGAGAAGTGTAACTTTTTAAAGAAACGTAATTATTCTGAATCAGGAAGTTTAAAAAGGAGGCTGTCATTCAACTGTACTTCAATTAAAAATAAAAAAACTTCAGGAAGGAGGCTGTCAGTTAAATGAAGGTAATGACATTGAAACAAAAGGGCATCACAGGTTCCTATTCCTATGTGGAGATGAATGTAATGAATAGAAGGATAAGGTAGTCCATTTATTTAGCAACTATTAATTAGGTGCGTATTCCATGCTGGGCACTGAGGGGAAATCTATGAATGTCTAAGATGAGGTCCCTGGCCTCCAGTGGTCTCCAGATGAGATAAGAAACATACCAGATTTACTACCGTACAAAGCTGTATAGCCTTAGCGCTGTCTGAGAATTACTGAGTTTTGTAGTTGGGGCAGAATAGTGAGTTTGTCTACGGGGTTTGTAGGAGATAAAGGTAGAAACAGAGAGAGAGGGGAAATGGCGCAGGGTCTCTAATGCCTGGGGCATGAAGTTGACTTTTGTTTCAGAGGCTGTGAAGAGCTGTTAAAATCCAAAGGTAAAACTAACAAGCTACTTCAAGATTCTGAGCAGAAAAACAGAGTATGCTCTCATATCAAATATAACTGTTCTTGCAGATACCCAATATAAGATCATGTGGTTTGCCGAGGATGATTCACACTTCCATTAAGTATTGAAGGTCATTCTATCTTTCACATAGTCTGCAAGCAGAAACTACGGGTGTCTATCAAGAGAAGGCTCCAATTTTATCTTAATTTAATATTTTGCCTGCTGCTTTCCATTGAGTGGCTATGTCCGGTTCTCACTTTCATTTCCAAGTCCTGAGAACAATCAGTCCAAGTCGTAGGGGGCTTCCTGTGTGTCTCCTGCACTTAACCATGGGCTTTAGCCCGCGGTGATGAATCCATTTGTTGAGGACTTCGTATGTGCCAGGCACCATACTGGCTGTTTTGTATTCTGTATCTCATTTAATTCTTGTGCAGCCCTAGGATAGAGGGTAGAGGGGTCCTATTTTTATTCTTAGTTTAAGACGTGGGAAATGAGGCACAAAGAAATTAATGGTTAACTCAAGGTCACACGGCCCCAAATTCAGACATGAATTTCTTCACCAGCCCACTGTCAATGCCGACTAGCTGAGTGAGTGAGACTCAAGGCTTTATTATAATATATTTCCTATCAGAATTAATCAGGTTCAGCCAGGCGCCTGGGTGGCTCAGTCGGTTCAGCGTCTGCCTTCAGCTCAGGTCATGATCCCAGGGTCCCGGGATTGAGTCCGCCGTAGGGCTCCCTGCTCAGTAGGGAGTCTGCTTCTCCCTCTGCCTCTGCCCCTCCCTCTGCCCTTCCCCCTCCCCCTGCTTGTGCTCGGTCTGTCTCTCACATAAATAAATACATAAAATCTTAGGGAAAAAAATTCTCAGGTTCAGAAATGCAGGTGTGAAGACTGTAATTCTGTGCAGATTGCCAGCAAATGGTTCTGTGGGTTTTGACTCCACTCCCAGCATACTCAAAATATTAGTGTTTTCTCCATACTTAGGCTGTAGCCCAACATGAATATAATGTATGGAAATCTGGATTCAGAGAAACAAGACATCGGGGAATTAATACCTTTACAAAAACAATTCACCACGGGATTCTTTTCAGTAGTAAATGACTCTAATGCTTTTAAAATAGAATTTGCTTTGCATACAACCTTTTATGAGCCCATATATTATAAATCAAAATACAGTGGCCTGTAAGAAGTACACGCTTTACATTTTCCTCCATAATTTGCGAGACACAGATTGGTTGATGCAGGGGCGCCTGGGTGGCTCAGTCGTTAAGCGTCTGCCTTTGGCTCAGGTCATGATCCCAGGGTCCTGGGATTAAGCCCCGCATCAGGCTCCCTGCTCAGCAGGAAGGCTGCCTCTCCCTCTCCCACTCCCCCTGCTTGTGTTCCCTCTCTCGCTGTGTTTCTCTCTGTCAAATAAATAAATAAAATCTTTAAAAAAAAAAAAAAAAGATTGGTTCATGCAGTGGGCAGAATAATGGCCCCCCCCAAAGATGGACATATCCAAATCCCCAACACCTGTAAATGCTTCCTTACATGGCAAAGGGGAGTTAAGATGGCTAATCAGCACATAGGGAGAGGAGCCTGGGTTATCCAGGTGGGCTCAGTGTAATCACAAGGGTCCCTGTCAGTGGAAGGAGGGAGGCAGAAGACGAGAGTCCGGGAAGGAGGAGGGAGGACAAAAGCAGGGTCAGAGAGAGATGCTTTGTTGCCGCCTTTGAAGATGGCGGAAGGAGCCACTGGCCAGGAAATTGCAGGCAGCCTCTGGAAGCTGGAAAAGGCAAGGAAATGGCTTCTTTTCTGGAGATTCTAGAAAGGGACACAGCTCTGCTACAACCTGGATTTTCGCCCAGCGAGACCCCTGTCAGACTTGGGCTCTGTAGAACTGGGGGAGAATACATGTTGTTGTAAGCCACTGAGTTTATGGTAATTTGTTCCAATGACAGGAGGAAAGGAATTCAGTCAAGTAGTCAAAGATTGATTGTTTAGCTTATGTGTTGTCTATCCCCGAGGTTGCGAACGCCACCACTCATGGGGGCCAGGCAGGAGCCATAAATTCATGAAGCGAGTGGTGGGGTCTGAGGCAACTTGGTGACCACATGGCCCGGCTGAAGGGGACACTGCTGCCCGCCTCTAGCTAATTGTCACTCTGCTAGGCTCTTTGGGTTGTTGCCTTCTTTCATCCCCAGCTATTCATGTCTTGGCCACTTCTTCTTCTTCTTTTTTTTTTTAGTGAGATATAATTCAAATAGCATAAAACCACTTACTTTCTTTTTAAAACTTCTACCAAACAGTAGGCAAAGAAAGGAAAATAAGAATAAGTCGAAGTGTAGGGAATAATGTGAAATAGGCCATAATGAGATTTGGGAACTGTGCCTGGTCATGGATTTCATTTATCCCGGCTATTCTCCATTATGGACTGTGGCTCTCCATTTTGGATTTCTGGGAGCTCAATATACATCCCATATTCTTCCGGTTTTACTTCCTAAGCCAGAGCAGTGGTATTAGATTTCAGGATTAATCACAGCTGGGATGGGCAAGAGAGGGAAGAAGGTTCAGCCAGACTCAGTGAAAGGTGTCTGAGGGGTTTTGCCAAGATGTTTCTGTTTTCCTCTAAGATTGTGTTTTAACTATTCCTGAATTCAGCCTTGTGGAAGTTGGTTGAAACTCGCAGTGTTGATGATGCCATCTCTATGTAAACAGAGGGCATGTGACTGTATGGAGAAGGGCCATGGCCGGGGGGGGGGGGGGGGTGCGGTTGTTGGGTGTGGGTTTTGTAGTGGCCAGCCTGGAGAACTTGGAGTGAGGGCCAAAGCGGAAGTCCAGGCCTGTGAACTGTGGCACCCTGGGGGACTCGGGCCTGCACCCTCAGGTGGGGGGATCAGACATGTTCTTCCTGTGATGGGCCTAGACTGGCTCAGACCTAGGAGAGAGTCTAAATCTAACAGTGGGGGGAGCAGCTGACCCAGCTCTTGGAGAGTTGGCAAAGGCAGACACGGAGGAACTGAGGCAAAGGGCTGACGGTTCATGAGACGTTTTGAGAGGAAAATCTCTTCTATATTTGTTCCTGTTATGTTAGCCTTCATTGTGAAGAATATTAATGAGTCTCATAAGCGAACGGGAAGGTGAGTCGGGCATGCTATTATAATCTGAGTCATTTTCCTGATACCGGGGGCAATTTTACCATTGGTGCATCTGGAGTCCCCTGCGTGCTGGGATATCCAGCCCACACTGGTGAGAAGCTTTGGGAGCTTTAGCGGTGAGCACCGCAGGCCTAGAGCTTGCAGAGTTGAGAGCCAAGAACCTTTGCTGTCAGAAAAATTCAAGCTTTGATAGCCCCTCAAGCCCACAGTGGGCTAACCAGGAAGCTACAACAGAAGGATCTCGGTATTCATCATGACTCACTAGCAGATAACAGCCTACGGGAGCCATGTGCCTTCCCTTCTATTTTATCTGTGCCTCCTTGACATTGGCCTGCGGATCCCGCTGGGGTTGAGGGCTTGACAGGCATTAAGGTAGGGTAGCTGGATCCCTCTTAGAGGGAGGTGTCAATTTCAGGGTCTTTATTCATTTTAAAACTTCTGGATTTAAAAAAATTATGTAGAATCAGTCCTTTGGAAAATTTGAATTGATGGACAGCAACTTAACTGTCTTTTTTTTTTTAAAGATTTTATTTGAGAGAGAATGAGGGAGCGGTAGAGAGAAGGAGTAGGGGGAGGGGACAAAGGGAGAAGGAGAAGCAGACTCCCTGCTGAGCAGGGAGCCCAATGACAACATGGGGATCAAGACCTGAGCTGAAGGCAGACACTTACCAACTGAGCCACCCAGGCACCCCTAACTGTCTCTATAAACAAGGCCGAGTCTTTTTTCTGGATTCTTTGACTGTCAGAAATAAGGGAGTCTAATGGCACGGGAGGGAGAAATGGAGTCATGAGAGAAGGTGGAAAGAAAAAAAGCAAAGGGAAAGAGGGTTAGAAAACACTGAGCCAAGTCCAATAGATAAAAGGGAATCAGAAGACTCCCTACTTTATAAGGCCTTTTGAGAAAGCAACCACATGATCTGTAATGTGACATAAATAA